TCCACTATATAGAGAAACCTCGAATGTGTTATTTTCACTAGTGAAAATAAAATGTTATTTTCACTAGTGAAAATAAAATGTTATTTTCACTAGTGAAAACAACACATTCGAGGTTTCTCYATATAGCGGAAGTAAGAAAAAAGGTATTTTACGACATAATTTGCTTTCATATAAAATTATATGATAAATAGAATATTACATGTTCGCTTGGGGATACGAATTTTATCTTCTCGTGTTGAAAATCTCACGTATAGAAATATCTAGGCATATCATCTGTTTTTTGTAAATAATCAAAAAAAATATCTTGTAAAAGTATCTTCTATAACAACATCTTGTAGGCTTCGCTTAGCAAAGCACTCTTCAATTGTAAATAGTAATTTATAAATTTAGTTATTATTATCTAGTAGTAATGTACTAATTATTATATGTAATAGGACTCCATGCTGTCCAATTAAGAAATAATTGGACGAGGAAAATTCCGAGGACTGCCAAAAATTGGACGAGGCCGTGGCCGAGTCCAATTTGGCAGTCAGAGGAATTTTTCGAGTCTRATTATTTCTTAATTGGACAGCATGGAGTCTTATTACCTATTAATTATATAGCCACATATTGATCCCAAATAGGTAAAAGCCAACAACAGCTTTCAACAAAAACCCAATTGAAAACCTGTCCAATTAATTTCTTAATTGGACAGGATTCCAAAATTAACGAAAAATCCAGCTTTTACCTATTTGGGATTAATATGTGGCTATATAATTAATGTAGTAATGTACAAATAAATATGTTAAGACGAAAAAAAAGAAGCAAAATGAAGCAGTGTTTCAGAAACCAAGTAAAAGTTATACATGATTCCTTAAAAAAAATGCTAAGGTATTAACTTGACAACTTTAATTCAATTTTATTTTCTAATTGAAAGGCATTTGAAAATTTAAAATGCAAATGAAGTGACGTCACCAAGGAATTGGACTGGAGTTTTTTCCAGTTTGCAATATATCTTGCGTTTGGTTGAAATGGTAAAATCATAAATCAGAGTAATATTCAATTAAGAGCCTGGATTGCTATTTCCGATCTAAAAAAAAAGAATAATGCCCTTTTTTCGTGATTTTGCATATTAAATCATTCCCTAGTAGACGTCACTTAATTTGCATTTTCGATTTTTAAATGCTTTTCAATTAGAATATAAAAATTTTAAATATTTTTTTTTCTTTGGAGATCTGCTTATAGCAGTATAGTCTTTTTCGAATAAAATGATTTTCTAAAAGGGTTCAGTTGCACTTTAACATTCTTGTAATTGCAGATTTTTTGCAGTGAAGAACCATACTGGAAAACGATTCCTTTCTTCATGGCTGTTAGTGGCTGGGTGTTGTTTTTTATTGTAACTGGTTTAAACATTCACCTTAAATGCAGGTGGGTTATTTTAAGGCCCAAACGAATGAGGGTTCTCAAGTATTTTGTCTTCACAACGTTTTGGACCAAATTTAGTCAATACTTTTAGCGTGTGCTTCAAAGCGTGAGCAGCAAAGCGCGYTTTAGACGAATAATTTATCTCAAAGAATGTTTATTTTACTATGCCATTTTTAACTGCCTTACGGGCACAAAAAATTATAAAAAATGCTCATTCCCAGTCKCCTGCTCGTTTTTTTCATATGGTCAATKCCTTTCCAATATGTTTAGCAGAAGATCCAAAACACACAAAGATGACATCGAAACTGGAAAAGCTAACGAAAAACACAGTTCAAGACGAAATRCTGATAATAACATTGTGTCCATGACACATACAGAATTGCAGCAATATCACGATCTTTCTGATCGAAAACACATCATCAAGCAGGTTACGTCCGAAGCTGAGTACAGCGACCTAAGCCATGGCATCGTTTATGCTGTGAATATTATTATGGATGATGGAGAAAAGACCAAAGAACACAGGCGGTCAACTGAGAAGAGAGCTGTTATTAGACGACATTCCTCTTCAGTTCTTAGAAGCCATTCTCTACTTGAAGATATTCAATTTGCAAGATCTGTGATCATGGAAGAAAATGTTGATCGTCAACAAAAAAGAAAAATTGTAGAGAATCGTAAAGTAAGTCAATACTSCAATTTCGAGTTCTGGTTTGCTCTGTGTTAGCCTCAAAACCAAGTAACATATTCTTTTGTTTCACTGATAGCTCGARARRMCGCATGGAATTTGTGAAGAAAGACAATAAATTTGATTTGAAATCACACTTTTACGACAACTAAGAAATATTTTGCGCACAAGTGAGGCTAACACAGAGCATTGGAGAATTCGAAACTAGAGTATTAATAGCTTCAATCGTGCTCAGTAATGATATGGTCGCGGTACGCTTGAGGTTTCGTCGTGTAAAGTCAGGGTATGGTCGGGTATGGTCGGTTTAAGTTAAATTCGTATAAAAGAAGTTTAAGTCAGCTCTATTGTTTTCATTATAGTTAATCCAGCGCCGGTCGTCTGCTGATATTGGACGTTTCAGTGATGACACGCTCAGCTATGCCGTCAACGTACTTTCCCCAAGCCAACACGATAAGCAACGTAGTAAAATGGCGTCCGAGAGAAGGAGAGTCGTGAGGGAGGCTACTTCCCGTGAACGAAGTGGATCTTTTCTGGACGAGGTATTATAGTATGAGAATGTCTTAAAGTAGAGACGGAATCTAAACTTTTCTTTAGGGATGGCACGGCGCACTTGCGGTCGACGGATTTTTTTTTTAAATCTATTGGAAGGTTCATGGTAATCACACCTCTTGCGAAATTTAAAAAAATTAAAACACGTGCTACAACAAWCACGAGTTGTATGCACTCAGATGCACGAGTTCCATATATGTAGATCCATAAATTCCATTTACACAGACCGAATAAAGCGTTCTCCTCTTTTACATCGTCAATAGACCAGCCCTTTATAAAAAGTTCAATTCATATTCTCACTAGTCTTTTTTTCTATTTTCTCTCTCTTTTCTCTTTCTTACAACTGTTTCTTCAGGTCCAGTTTGCTAGGTCAGTCGTACTCCCATCGCATCAAATAAGAGAACTCGATGAGGATGCAGCATTTCGACGTGAACTCGTCAAAGAAAGTCATTGTGGAGCAGGACGTCGCATGTCATTCACCGATGACGTCATCGCTGCTCAGGAAATTATATCTCCTGAATGGAGAGTTAGGGCAGGTAACTTTTGTCATTGCACGTTATGTTTTGAAATACACCCATCTTTGACAATCTTTAAGTGAATAGCCGATTTGCGAATTTCGCTCCAATTGTCAAAGACAAAAGAATCAAGACGAGGCGMCGTGCGTAAAGCTCAGTCAATCRTGAAAAACTATTGTCTTTTCACGAATGACTGAGCTTTATGCACGACGCCTCGTCTTGATTCCTTTGTGTGTGACTACTGAGTCAAAATTCGCAAGTCGGCTATTGAAAATTGTTAACTTTTGTCTTCACAGAAAGCTTCGAGTCTGATAGTCGTTCTTTAAATGAGGTCGAGGGCAAAGCGAGCGGATCATGGGGCTCCCTCTAATAATTACAGGTATAAACGGAAAGGTGTGTTTTTGAGCGGGGAGTGACTGATAACGTAGGAGAAAAATTTGAGAAATACTTGGTTTCATCGGAGAATTAATAACAGTCACTAAAATCTGACTAAAAGCATTACCTTTGGTAAATGTGACATGCGCCGTATAAATCAACTGCGACATATTGCCGTATCTTTGACTGCTCCATTCGAAAATTTGTTATTTCATTCAATGTGTCAACCCTTTTCGCGGTTAGGACCAAAGCAAGAAAATTTTGGCAACAACCCAAAAAGTTTGTCATTTTTGAGCTTCTTTATCCTTTTGCAATGTCAGGAAGATAATTTTTTGTTGGTGAAAAAACGTCACAATTTTGACGTGACTTAGCACTCATGTTGCCAGCTTTGGTTTTAACCGCGAAAACGTCTTTTCACCAAACGTTCACTTAATTCGTGAATTGTATTCGGCCAAGGTAATATTCTTTTATTGATTACACGGTTACTGTAGCTTCACCGTCGACATTCAAAATACTGCATTTACTTTTATCAGTTGATTGATGAACTACTTTCTATAACATTGATTTTTTGTTTCTTACAGAAAAGTCTGACAAGAAACGTCCTACATAACACACTTGATGTGGAATTCTCCCTGCAATTTCATTTTATGTGGATCTTCAAAATTTCAGATATCAGCGTATTTTTTTTCCTTTGTCACTGTTCTTTGATAAGAGATTTGCACGATAAATTATCAATGTGCAAATGGTTCTTTTTTGTGTGTTTTTTTTTTCKTGGAGTGTTATGTAATGACTAAGATGTTTTGTAGCAGAAAATATACCTCGTCAGTTCTAGTTATTGTTAGTCGAAGTCTTTGGTCGCTCATATCAAGTCTAGAATGCGCATGTCTGCAATGAAACCATTATATCTTTTAGCATATTTTATTACATAATTTCACAAAAAGAAACTTGTGAATCTAGACCTTGACATCGAAGTTTTGGAAGCGTCCCAGGGCATCACTTCTCGTTCTGTCCGCTATGTATATTAGTTACCTGTGAACGGGTCAAATCAGTGGCAGGTATATTACGACTGGATTTAAAATTGTTAGTACAATAAATAGAATATATAGTTCATGTCATGGCTAACATAGCCGTGAKTTGTATTTAGAAATGGCACTGAATGCCGTTCAGTTACTAAAAATCGATAAGACTTATGGACACATTCAAACATTAAACCTTCCTAACCATTCGTTTTCACCCATTCCCATCAGATTCAAAATATAAAACATCGTCCGCCATGTTGGAGGAATGAACAATAGATACTAATGAAAAATCCTTTGTTAAAGTTCCTCCAAGATGGCCGCTGTGACGTAATCTGAAAACGAAGAATAGTAAAAAGTTTGACGTCTGAATTTCACCCCACTACGTCTCAGTCCATTCAGACCGCGTTTGCACAGGAAAACTGATTGTACAGATGTTAACTGTACAGCTGATCACACAGAAACTATCCCTCTTCAGTCCAGGTCGATATTTCAGCGACGCAATGTTGTATAGCACAGCATGAATGGAATTGTACTCTCGTACTTTTTACGTCAGTTAACATAGTCTCTCAAAATCTCTTTTATGTTGTATTTGAAAACGGTAACGGAATATCAGGATAATTAAACAGCCATGAAAAAGTAAGAGGACTACAGATCCCATCATGCATTGTTGCAAAGAAGGCATCGCTGTACATTGCCTATTAGCCGGAGGGACGGAATGGACTTGCAGAGAATTGATAAAAATAAATCTAGGCCTCTTCCAAAGTCAACCTGGCCTTAGAAACAGTTTCTATCTGCTCAGCTATCGACCTGTCACCTAGCAACATTATAGACGATGGTAATTACTGAGACATGAAAGCTCCAGTCAGTTATCGCCACATAGGCGTTCATACCACAGTAAAAAGTTATTGAGAGTTTTGAAGAGGAATTCACGAGAAAATGTTCTTAGTATTTACATATAATACAGTTAGTAATAAATCTCTTCAAATAATTGCTATGGTTCTATAGGAATTCTATGGTTTAGTCTATAAGGTTATTTCAGTATACAATACTCGTGGATCTTCACCGATCTAACTCGGTAAATGTACGTGCGGTATTTTTATAAATCTCACGTGCATTTTGGTCTTTTTTGCTCGAAGAAAACATAGTAAACAAATATTGTACTCCAGTAAATAAATACGTAATCYACGAGTTTCCTATACTTCAGTACCTCAATATATAGCTATCATTATCTAATCGCTATACGTGCGAAGAGCTACTTGCTTCTATTGTGGTGCTCTGTATATCCTGTAGTGTGTCTCTATCAGTTTCTTTTCGATGTGAAGGCGACCCATGACATGAGTCACTGTCTGAATTATGTATTTGTACATGAATAACCTGTCTTACAGGTTCTGATTCCACCGATGGACAAGTCGATGCCAATGAACAATGGCTTCCTTTTGAAGTCTCTGAACTTATATTATCCGCAGTTAACGCTTTTTCACAGTCACAATTCTGTTCTGAGCTTGCGTTACTTGGAGGAAAAGTGGATCCTTGTGATCCGGTCATAAATGTTGCTGTTGATCTGGGAGAGTCTCGACTGGTTTGCGTACTGCCCGAACTGTACGACTTTAAAGGAATATAACTAACGTCGTCTCGAGGAACTGTATTMGTATTCAAGGCTTCTGCTTTGATTGTACGTTGTGATCCTCGCCTTGCACAGTAAATAACAAGCAACCAGACTAGAGACGTACCAACAACGCACGACACAACCACGATTACAATGATTGCTAAAAATGTCTTCTTGTCGTAACGAAGCGATGCTGTCTCTTTCTCATTGACTCCGACTTGTGCATTACCTGTAAATAACATTAAATGATACCAACATCAACCATATGAACATCCACTGCATCACTGAAAACAATCATTGACAATACCATTATTGGCATCTTTATCAACACAGTTGACAACAGCATCATCGACAACATCATTGACATCATCACTGACAACAGTACCCTTGACAATAGCATTAACAATATCACAACAAGATTGACAAGAAGATCGTTATCATCAACAACATCATTGATATCATCTATGATCACATTCATCGGCGAGAAAGCGTATGAACTCAGTAAAACAATAAGAAAAAAGCAGAGTGGTAACTGCTAGTTAATAGTATTATACCTGATAATACAGTCAATTCGGCGGTCTGACTTGCCATGCCATGTTCATTTGTTACCTCACAGTCGTAGGTTCCCTCATCATCCAGTTGCGCTGTTAGGATGACCAGTACTTGGCCATCTAAGTGAGTCAGTACTCTTGAATTAAATTCAATGCTATGTCCATCTTTATACCAGCTGATCACTGGTTCTGGGTTACCATTGGCAATACATTCAAGCACGACACTTTCTCCTTCTTTAACTGTCTTACTGGTCATCGATTGCATAAATCGTGGAATTTCTACATATCAAAACAACAGTGACAATTATACAATGACAGATATACAACTCCACAGATGATATGTACATTGACTGTCTAAGGGTGAGGGATGGCCGGCAGACGGGAAATACCATATAAATGACCCAGCAAGTCCCATATATATGTCCGTCCGGTCCGAATCATTCTAAAAGCATTTCAACATTTGGTTCTTTTCAGAATTTTTTCTTGTTTAAACTAGTTTTTCCGTTTGCTGTTTTCACAGGCTTTTTYAACAGGATTTCTTGAGAGAGCGCACACCCAAATAAGGTTCATGTGATGAAGTCATTATTACAATCTTAGAGAATTATACTCAAAAAGTATTCTACACTTACGTAAAACTGTTACGTAAGCTGTAGCAGAAATGGAGCCCGCGTCATTTGTTGCTGTACACGTGTAGAAACCACTGTCTTTAGTTATCGAATGAGTGATCGAGAACAATCCCTTTGCCTCTTGATGAACGATGCGTCGCTGTTCTGCTGCGGCAAACTTAGTATTGCCTCTATCTTTACGCCATGATAGGGTTGGTTTCGGGTGACCTTTTGCTTTACACGGTAGTTGGATGGTTTCTCCTGCTTGTACAGTTACATTTCGAGGTTTTCTTAGAAACTTTGGGAATTCTAGATAGCAAAGATAGTCACTCAAAATACAAATGGTGGAGACTAGCGGTAACTAGTGTGAGCTTCGTCGGTGTTTCTAAAGAAACRRTTGTGTACAAAGRTAAATTTAACRCCGTAAAAAAAGGGGAGACAACTTACTGACGTTTCGGACGTTAATACTTTGTCTGTAAAACTCCGACGAAGAATTAACTCCACAACTCAACATGCAGCTCTTATTAAAAATGCTTTTTACAAACTAAACATGTACAACATGCTATTTGTGTCATAATTGTAAAAACAGATGCAAAATAAGTGAATACACTGAAAAACACAATGTTTAGACGTCGTTTTTCACACATGTCGACTGCACTGATATCAATAGAACGTACAGACCAATAAAAGACAATCAAGACAAACTTACCACGAACTTCCAGTCTTGCTCGATTAGAAAATGATTCCCCAAATCTATTAMKGGCGTGGCATTGATAAAACCCGTCGTCATGGAAACCCACATTAACAAGACGTAGCTGTGATGTATAGATAACAACGTTCTCTTTAGTTGCCTAGAAATAAAATAGCCCTTTCAGTGTGAAGATACATCAGCCATGACTTTCCACGAAAACTGATTCTTACCTTAGCACGATTCAAGACTTTACTGGTTCTGATCACGTGTTGATTTCGTCTCCATGACAGCTTGACATTGGTATCGTTCATCTGATAAACTTCAACGTCACAATGCATAGTCACGTCTTCACCAATTAGAGCTTTTGTTGACTTGGGGTGTTGGGAGATCTGGGGCGCTGGGTTGCTGAAATCTAAAAAATACTGACCGTTATAAAAGGTAAATGTTTATCTAGAAAAAAACACCATGATAATACCGTACAAAGATGTTTCAATGTCATTCTGTTAATATAGTAGCATATAAATTTACTATCAAAATGACACCTGAAAACCATGTAAAAACATTACTTTGCCCAATGACTTAGCCGAAAGGCAGAGCAAACGGTGAAATTTTATTCGATCTTAGGCAGAGGACGATGATAGACTTCTGTTTTGTGGCGATTTTGGGGGTGATGAACAGTGTAAAATGGACTGAGACAATATAGCATTAACGTTAATGTGGTCGACGTACCACATACAAACGCTGAAGAGGAAATATTGAAGATACTTTTAGACTGAAGTTGTTGAGGGAGTCTGCAGCGAACTTCAATGCCATCCATTGACTTGAGATGGGTTTTAAACCATTGTGGCAACCACTTCACTTTACAGTTACACATCAAATCAGAGGTATTCAACCATCTATAAAAAAATAAACAACGTTTATCAACCACTCGAAGTTGAACCTGGACTGGACTATTGGACTGGACTGCGGACTGGACGTTCAACGTTCATCTGTTTAAGTCCAATCCAAAGTGAATCAAGTAGTCCAATCCAATTTCATACAACAAACAGCTTTTACGCACGTAGAGACACCGAAGTACTGATGGAACATATATCCACTWGAGAAGTCAATATCAAAAATAAACATGCGACAAAAAAAAACAACTCTCGAAGTCGAGACATGTCTGTAGCCATAACATCTTGCAATCTTGTTCAGTGAGGTTATCGCCGTAAGACGCGTGATAATAAATAAATGTTTTTCCCTTCAAGTACTGGATAGGACTGTTTATCCATCAATTTCCGTCTATTTTGATAAGATTCGAAATGTTCGTCATTGATCTCATTAGTTTACATTAATTACCGTGGAGGAATAGAGCGAGGTGTGGGTGAGGTCCAACAATAAGTCTAGTGTTACACCATTCTTGGTTTTCACTGATCACGTGATATTCTAAAAATGCTATTTAGAGGCCAAATTAGCCTCCATTGCAGACGTTATTAGTATCGGTCATAAATTCCCTCTCCACTAAGAGAGGGAATTTATGACCGATACTAATAACGTCTGCAAAGGAGGCTAAGGCCAAATTAGCGAAATGTTATTATTGTCCTCCTTGAGAAAAAGAAATACGAGCTATCGAAAATTGGTAAGAATGTATGRGATTATCACGGCGATTTTGTAGCAAAAATATAAGCGTTTGAATACGGTCTTACTTTACAAGGGAATGTATGGGAAAGCCCTAGTGGTGTACTAATCCTGTACACCAACCATGCGGACAGTAACTCCGAGTGTCGAAATGAGCTCAAAACTAATGATTTTGCTTCAGTTTTCCAACAATATCATTCTAAAAATTTAATTTAATGCTGAGGCTATACTTGTTTTAAGATTAATAGGCTTTCCGAGGTTAATTTGGAGTGTTTCAAGTCGCGTGACAGTATTGCGTGACATATTTTTGAACGTTAATAACTCGACGAATAAACAGGAAAAAAAAGTTTGAACTTTCAGGGAGAACTTCTATCATGCTCTTCAAGATATTTTAGCACTGCAATGTTGTGTATCTGTGATTTTAGAATTTTTTTCGACTGATGACGTCATTTGCAAACCGAGAATAGCTCAATATGATGCGTGAGCAGGAATATATTCTCTGTTATTGAAATGTTTATCCCGTCGCGTGCAGTCATATTGAACTATGCTGTTACAGTGTGATGAGGCGATCCGAGTTATTACCAACCCTTAAATTAATCCCCGGTCCATTATTGAAGACATCTAATTACATTCCGTCTTAATGAAATTAAATACTAGTTAGTGATAAATACTATTAAGGTTACTTACAATTGCGCTATGTTGTTAATGCTACTGAAGGCTTTCTCTTCAATTATAGCAATAGCATTTGCTGACAAGTTCCTGGAATTCCAAATGGTTGATTCATTAAATATTGCACGCTTAGAACACGTCGCGCACTAAGCTACTTACAGGTACTGCAGGGCGGATAAACCAAGGAAAGCCTTTTCAGATATCAACGTGATCTGATTGTTATCCAAACGTCTGWAWAACGAAAGCATGTTACTATGGTAACACATGAAAACGAGGCTTTACACATACGTAATACAGTCAACTCTCTCGTAAGCGACCACCTCGGGATCTGGAGAAAGTGGTCGTTTACGAGAGATGGTCGCTTACGAGAGAGTTTTTTTTTACAGAGTTTATATGGGAAACAATTATAAGAGGAAATTTAAAAGGTGGTCGCTTAAGGTGGTCGTTCAAAGGGAGTCAACTGTACTTACAGGAATTCTAGTTTCTTGAGGCCGATAAAGGGTCCGCTCATTTCCTCCGCCGTCCAAGAGATGGAGTTATTACTCAAGTTGCTATGGAGTTAACAAACAAGATAATAATAAGAACGAGATAGCGACATCATCAAGCTTGAGTACAAAATCTCATAAATGAATCGGCAGTTATTCTTATATGTTCAACTACCAAAATTACAAACAAGATTTTGTTRAACATAGGGTATGCAACATGGCAAGCCATGAGAGGAGTAACCACCATTTTATCTTTCAGAAATATATATGTTCTTATGACCCCGGCAGAGGAAAGTAACAAGTCGTTGCCAGCAAGATCATAATACTCTCAAAATTAACAATTTTTTAGGAAACTAAAAAATTCAATCTGCAATTTATATTGCATACTTTGTGTTTGAACTCCGCTAACCGAACCAAGTTTTACTTACAGAGTGTCTAGTGTCGGTAGATCCTTAAATGCATTCTTGGTGATGTGATAGATGCTGTTGCCAGCAAGATTACTGGAAAATAACACATACATGTTAAGATACTCAAACATTCCAGGGACTWTATAAGTATTTGAGTTATTACATGACCTAAAGGAAAAGATTAAAATAATTTCGAAATAACGTTTGTTGCATCTMTAAAAATCTCACTAACAAGATCATTGCAATTTTTATAATTGAAAAAAAAAACTTCCCCCMAAAACAAAGACTTGATTTAGAGAGGAATTGTAGGAACAATGACGGGAAATGGGTTTCCATTGCAGTTAATGGGATTTTCACAATATAACCGTGCAATTATAGCTTCATTGTAATCATTTATAACTTTGACTGACAGTCCTTTTGATCGTTCGTTTCCGACAATCTCATCAGCGAGATCGCGGTAAACCGCAATGCCATTCAAATATCGTTTCTTGCGAACCATTAAACCACGAAATGTCATTTCTAAAACAATCTTCACAACTGGACATCGAGTCGATATTTCTAACCAACTATGATAAAGCCACCACCAGACTCAACTAGTAGGCTATGTTGTCGCGTGCTTCACGCATCCGAGGCGGCAACTGCAACGAAGAAACAGCGAAGACACACGTTCTTTACAGTAGTGCAGATCGCGCTACATGTATTCACCCTACGGTTTAGTCCCACGTTGAATCTCACATGTAACGAAGTTGTGCTGAAGTCAATGAAAATAAGATGAGAATGAGCAGTAAAAAATACAGAAGTTATTTCCATTGAATTCACTACATGTGAGATTCGAGCTATGAGCGGAACTAAACTAAAGGGACCGTCCACAATGGTTTTTATTTTTGTTTTTTTTTTAATTATTATTATTGTTATTATTATTTTTTTTTGCCACTATAAAATCGACTTGGCATGGTTTTTCTTGTAGTTGGCAAACTAATAGCTAACAGACTATCGACTACTTCATTAAATAGGTATTTTCTGTTCTGAATACAAGACTAGGTATCAAAACACTGAACATTTTGAAGGATAATACCGTCAACTTTAAAGGCATTCCCTTATGTAATTTGTTGTGCAAATAGATAAATTTAACACCGTAAAAAATAATAGGTAAAACAACTCATTGACGTTTCGGACGCTAATCCTTCGTCGGAGTAAAGACGAAGGATAAGGTCCGAAACGTCAGTAAGTTGTTTCACCTATTTTTTACGGTGTAAATTTATATTTTTACACAACTGTTTCTTTAGAAACACCGACACAGTTCATACAAGTTTACCGCTTGTTTCCACCCTTATGTAATTGGTCTGTGACTAACTAGTCGTAAATACTTACAGTTTTCTAAGTCCCAAAAGGTGCCTGAACGTTTGGTCGTCAATACGCGACAACTTGTTACCAGCCAGATTTCTGTGGTAAAAGAATAATATCATTATTAACCTAACAATTTCTTAAATACTACCAACTATAAAAACAATCAAAGGATGGGCTCTTCATGTCTATCACTGATGTGGTCCCAATTCGAATACAAAAGTCTCTTCACTTGCGAAGTACTTTTTTTCGCACAGCATATTTTTGTAAGTATATCTATTGTCCTAAGAAAGTTTTTACTTACATCTCTCGTAAAAGATAAAAACTTCTCCAGTCGGACATTGGGTCAGTCTTTATTTGTGAGATTTTGTTATTTTGAAGGAAACTATAACAACACCAACAAATAAGTAAATAAGATTAAAAAACGGTTGACAAGAACAATAGTGGAATGCCGCAAGCAATGCGACAGCTTAACTTCACAGAACTTACAGGATTTGTAGATCTCTTAACCCCAAAAACCGATTGACTTCCAATACTGACAAGTTATTACCATCAAGATGTCTAAAGAGAAACGAGGTTAGTTAGCCGTGTCCTTGTGCAATAAGACAAATTGATGCGATATACTCACAGATGCTGCAGTCTATCAAGTTCCACCAATCCTAAATATTTCATATCAGATAATCGATTTTTCGATAATTTCCTAAAAAGTAAACAAGAATATTAATATCCGGATCAAAAAATTGCATTTCTTAATTACTTTTAAGTTTAGATCAGGAATAAGAAAAAGTAACTTTACTTCTGCAGTTTTACTTTATCGGACAAATCATCTCTTGGACATGGAAAATACACAAACAACTGCTATGAGTGACCGCTCCCTCAATTATTCGYACTTGCAACGTTCTTTYCATGTATTTATGTCCTGAATGTGTACAATCAGTGCAAAACTATTATAAAAAACGTAGTGGAACAATGTTCCTATTTATCAAACAGAATCATGGTATTTGTATAGGTACGCGTGATATTTCAAAATTGTCAAACAAAATTTGTGACAATTTTGAAATATTACAAGTGGTATTTATCCCAAATTCCACGTACAAAACATGCTACTTTTTTTATAAAATGGTTGAATAAAATTGTGCAATTTGAGATACCACTATTAAGGATAAATATAYCACTCCTCTAAGCCAATCAAATTGCACAATTTTATTCAACCATATTATAAACTAGYGTATCAGGCACGGAATATAGCCGTACTCGGTGTCAAAGTAGGTTTTCACTGTACACGCTTTGAGACACCAATCAATGTATTTTTTTATTGTTTTTCGTTAAAACTTTATTACGAGTAGATCATTAAGACGCGCGTCAAGCATCATAGCAAGCGCTTTGCTCCGAGATAAAGGGCTAAGAATACCGAGTCTATAAACTGAGCATTTCGATTCAGTTGGATCCAATTTGATTTATCTGTTTGTTGTTCTTTTTTCTACGGTTTGTTTTCGTAAACCTCTGTCTAACCTTTTTTGTTTTGTCTTAGAATATTTTCATTTTTCTTTCATCGTTTGCATTGTTTTAATTCTGATGATTTTAAGGCGMGAAACTGACAGTCCTCGCAGCGAAACAAGCTAAACATCAATGGCATCGCTTCAAGCTACAGTTCAACGACAACTGTGACTTGCTGACTCGTTAGAAATCCTATAAAACCAGAAAATAGCCGAGTAGAGGACACAGGTCATACGTCACCATAGGCAGTGTTTAGAAAATCCAACATCAGATAACTAATGATTATCAGTGAATCAGGCTATCGACCTGCAGTAATTCTTTCGTGACACTGATTGAYAATATTATTTTGCTTGCGCAACCCTTCGCAAACAATCGCCACCGCTAAAAGGCATAGGAATCATGACAGACAAGTTTTTCTGAATACGACCGCATTACTAGAAAAGGAAATAGCGTTTACGCATTCCTGAGAATGTAATCAGGGAACTAGAATTAATACTAATGCGGGATTAGACTATCAAAAGTCAAGAAAAACCATTGAAATTCCTTCAAGGTGAAGATTATTTAAACTCGACGATTATCAAAYACTCACAATGTCTTTAATTCCTTAAGTCCAGAAAATGACGACGGTAGAAGAGTTTTTAAATAGTTTTTCCGTAGATCTCTGAAAGATAAAACACAATAAAATCAACACAAAAAGACTGTGGAAAATGATTCTCAACGCGTGCAGATGCAAATATTTCATCAAGGAAACAGGGGGTCAAGTTGGACGATTTTCTGATGTAACAAAATACACTTAAACCCCAGATGGTCACTAAAGATAAGACAGACTACAACAATACTTACAGTATTACCAGAGACTTGAGTTTAGAGAGAGCGGCGGTTGGGATGGATTTTAATTTATTTCGATTGAGTCTTCTGCAAAGAAAATAGTCGAGATAAGAGGTTTATTGTCTCCCACGAAGAAACCAAAGTAAAATAGGTGAATTAGTCGACAAACAGACACAAGAGATGTGACAATTCCATGAACCATCGCTAATTGGGTTTTCTAATTGCCCTATCTATTACGGCCTAAAAGTACGACAGGTATTCACTACAGGTCAAGGTAATCCATATTCAATGAAAACATACAAAAATATCTTTTTTTCGGGTATACTTTTCTCTTAGAAACTAGTGCCACGATTTTCGTGAACACTGACAAGTAAAGAATTTAAACGAGGAAACCATTCTTGTTGTTTTGCAGTATTCCGGATTTCCTTTRGATGGCACCCTGGAGAGGATGATCAAATAAACTGCGGCACTACAATACATTATATCTGACAGCATTTTGCCAAGAAAATAACCACCGAGAAAAAAAAACCGCATTGTGTAAATATAATGTTATTATCGGTCGTTTTCATCATTAAACCCAATGATAACAAAGTTAACGAAAGTCGGAAGCACCCAAGAAACCACTGGAGTACCTGACAACGAAATGGTTTCCCTGGGAATTCACTAATCACAATAACGCACGCTTATTAATCAAACAGTGGCATTAGTTCTCACTGGAGGCCATATAACTTTACAATCCAGGACTATACAAACAAACACAGACAATAAACCCMTACTAATACACCTATATTAATAACTACGATTCACAAACACTACTACAATACGACTGCATTGTTGGAATAGTGACATTTTTACACCATCTAAAGCATTCTGTATTGATTTTCCAACAATCAACCCAAGCAAACTTCAAAAAAATAACAGGTTCGTTTACAGTAATGGCCATTTTTGGTTTCATTACTTTCATTTACACTTCAGTGCTCCCACTTGTGTTACTCAAGAGTAAAGCCATGTGGATATGTTTCACCAAATAGACTTCCTCATGTCCCCTCCCCTGACAGWAGTTAAAAGACATATCACCACCACCCCCTAGGGAGACATGTTTACTTACAGTGTTTCCAATCTTGTAAGATTAGTAAAGGCATCAGATCCTATGCTTGAAATCTTGTTGACATGAAGGTGTCTACAATAAATACARCAAAACAGCTTTAAGCATGTATTTCAACCCTGGGAGAGTTTTCCTTGTTGGAAGAGATCAGTGTATCAATATTTGCACATGGATTCAGTCTTGTTATTACAATTTCCTGAGAGAATGTTTCCATAATGACATCATCAAGACCATCATTGAATATACATTACACTCAGTGTTTGCATTSATAGGATTATCTTTTTGACATCTATGATTCAGTAAGATTAATAATATATCTACTGCAATGATGGCAATACTTACAATGTCCTGAGAGAGTGTTGTTTGGTTGTGTTGAAAGAGGACACTCTTCTTATTTTATTGTGATGTCTACAAACAAAGTAAATGTTGCCAAAATAACAATAAACACAAAAACAACAAAACAACAGAAATCACAGCAAAAACATCAATGATAATAACAACAGCACTGGAAGCTTGAAATGCAGCAGAAGCAACAACAGCAACAAGTCGCAAGGAAAGGTCAGAWATGGAAATGACCAAAAATGGAGCTCAAGACATTTTTTCAGACATATAATACAGCACTGTGAAAAAATCAACAACACTGTGAAAGATAGAGCCACTCAATCTGCAACATCTACAAAATAATGATTTGTTGACAAGTACATTATCCTAGTTCATTATTAGGTCAGAACATGTTTACAGTAGAAAGAATTGAGATTTACTGATACACAACTGACATTCTGTAAAGCAACCAACTTCAGTGTCAGGAAAAGCTGAARATTGTTAAAAGAATGAATTTCAACGTTTTGTGATACTTACAATGAAAGTAATACTAAACTAGTAGGAAAAGAGTCCCAGGATGGAATGGCTTTGATGTTATTATGGTGAAGTTTGCTGAAAATGAGAAATAGTATTGATCAGTAATGTTGATAGCCAAACGACAATTTCTTTACTTTTTAAATAGCAATCTAAATTTCTTATCTTTAGTTTGTGAAATATGCTATAGATTTGACAAAAATGTATTTGCAACTTGTAAAATATCAACTATAAATTATCAAAAAGGAAATAAAATACACTACAGTGCTGTRTATATACACAAAAGAAAAAACTCAGCTTGTTGCGCCGCTCTGTTGTTAGTCCTTGTGTCATCTTTTTCAAGATATTTGCAAGTTAATGGTTAAATGATGACAAGTAAACCACTGTACATTATTGGTTAAAAGAATCATGGAAAAATACCAGAACMGTAACAAAGAACTGAAGAGGATGTTCCTGTTCTGTCAGAATAATTAAGCATGAAGACTTAAACAACAAATTGAAATTTTCTTTAAATTGTTTTAATAAAAAAGTCAACAACTGAAACTTTCAATAATAAAAATACACAGATACTTACAGTATTTTCAGTGATTTCAGATGAGACAAGGCTTTGGTATTTATTTCTTCTATTGCATTGTGACTTAAATCCCTGTGAAACAAACTMACTTTTAGCAAACACCTAAAATCACTACAATAACAAACTTCTGATAAGGTATATTTTCACTAGTGGAGTAAGCAAAACAAGCTTTTTACCATAACTTGTAGAATTCAYGCACACTGATTGGTCRWRAGCTGTTTTCGATCCTAGGACAGACCGATGAAATGGTGAATCGCTCKKGCAATGAGCCGGCACACACCAGAAACCGTTTTGTTTAGAAAGATTTACTTTGTTTTCTGCTTTGTTATGGTAAAAAAACAAATCGAAATCGCTTTTCTATGGTCTGTACGCTTATCAACAATTCAAATGGTGTCAGAAAATGATCAAAACTCAAGTGGAACCATGAGCGTAGCGATATTTCGATTTATTAAATGTACATAGAGAGCATAATAACAAATGAAAACCTTTCATTCTTCTATCCTCTCTTGCTACTTCACTAGTGGAAATTAGGCTTAACCTGATTCACTAAAAAAGCATATGTTTTAAGAACTTAAAGCGCATTTAAAGTTTTGAGTACAAACGTTTTCATCGTTTTCAACTATTTTACCTGAAGATGACTTGATTAGTCGAAAACGTTTGTACTCAAAACTTTAAATATGCCTTAAGTTCTTAAAACATAATATAATATATATAAAATATATACAGCCTTT